ATGTGTATGCAAGGCGTTCTATCTAGCGCTTCACCTAATCATATTGTCCCTGATCCGAGTGAAGCCCGTCACCTTGTTAAATCTCCAAGAGGCGGTTATGCCTCAGAGCTACCACGTCGCTCGATCCTGACAGTAAAGATGGGTAAACCCTCGTCGGAATCGACCTTCATGGCACAGAATAATGACTCAGTTAAAAAATGAGTCGAATCGGCAAGGATTAAGTATGTACTCGGTATAAGAAGATTATAACCGGTGGACAGTATCCTACGGGAACGGTGGTAATAGGCGTAGTACGGGCTGAGCATCACAACGGGATTCGGGGAGGCGGGGGGAGGGTTAAACTGAAAAAATTCGGACCCATCATGGAGCCTTGCCTACGGAACAGTAGAAAACGAAAATCGGCCACGTAGTTCGAAAAAAACGAAAACATATTAATCGGCAAGATTGAGGATATTGAATAAACCACCTCTGACCGTCTTACGCGGACCAGAGTTCAAGGTAGTTCGTAGCCAATATGGATAGTGGGCCACGAGCGCCAGGTGGTGTCAATTCGAGCAGCGTAACGCACCGCAGTTTCGAAGGGCTTGTTTGAACGAGTTGAGCTCATTGTGGCGCTGATCCCGGGTGGGTCTGGTGTGACCGTCTACCAGAGAAAATGGCCGATGTCCTTTCCCTCCCTACCACTGATGCTGCTTCCTCCACTCTCGGCGTCCGTTCGTCACTCGTTTCCTTAATGTCAGTACACTCCCCGGCCCTTATCCGCAGTTGTCGACAGCGCTGCAATCCCCCTGGCATCTAAATGCTATGACATGACCATCTCCTACTCGAAATGGACCATTTGTATAGTACCTCGCTATTCCCTTGTATTGGTTATTTTTCAGTTTTTCCAATCTATCCATTTGTTATCGTAACATAGACTTCATGTACTAGCAACTCTCTTTCTTATTACATCCCTATATGCTTGTCTGATGTGGTGTTTAACAATTCTGTCTGGTGTCAAATAACCGGGAAGGTTTCCTTGGTTGTATATTCGACCGTGTGTGTATGATAACCTCAACATCTTCTGCCGCTACAATAAGCGGTTTTATACGTGTGGGGCCTCAACTTCCTTTTCCACAGCGCCAACGAAACTACCACTCTCTCTCTCTCTCTCTCTCTCTCTCTCTCTCTCTCTCTCTTTCTGTCTCTCTCTCGACGTCGGCACTTCCCACGGCCTCACCCCGCAGTTTCCGACAACGCTGCATTCCGCACCGGTTGTCCAGCTGGTGTAATGGTATCACCTCTTCGTCCAGACGGATCATCAAATCTGCTGTATTTCTCATCCTCCCCTTATAGAATTTGACATTTCCCTAGGTATCTGTTCCATTGCTCTTAGCACACGTATTTCGCACCACTTAGCTATTTTTACTGTCAGCTTGGATGAGACCGATGACCCGTTTATTTATTCTCTTCATATCAGATTAACAAGGAGTTATATATGGTGCTCGCGTTGTGCCGTGTGTGCCAACCTCAACGTCTTCGTAGCTTCAAGTGCAAGGCGTGCTAAGTCATCACAGGCCTATCCGGCTGGCTGCCTTACCAATGTCAGGGCCATTGATGAGGTGCATGTGATGCAGTAAAACAAGGTTAGGCGGAAATGCAATTTCACAATAGTCGCTCCTTGAAAGAATGCAACGTCGTGCAACAAAGCTGGTGAACGGTTTAAAAAGCCAACCATACACAGGAAGATTGAATTGCTTTAATTTATTCCCTCTGTGTTACAGGCAAGAAAGAGTTGATCTTATCCTGGTTTACAAGATAATACATGGCCTTGAACACGGACGTAGCTTTGAGGGCATGTCTCAGTGGCACCTTTCCTCCAATCTTCGTGGTCATTCGATGAAGCTACGGAAAAATGTCCAGGCTGAATCTTCGTTCTGTATATCTCACACAAACAATAGTGGAGAAATAGAGCGATCCCCCTCAATCAGTCGTGGAGGCGACGTCCCTTCAGCTTTTCAAGAAGTGCTTGGATGATTATTTGTGTCCCCTGTTTTCACTCGTTAGTCTGGACCTGAGCTAAATACGCCGTGATCCCTGGGAATTTTTCTTTCGAAACAATGCTACTCAAATGAATCAAGTACCGTTTTGATAGCGAAGATTCTCATTGTTCGTGTATAGTTTTATCTAACGCGCTGACGCATAATCAAAAGGGTTTTCAAAGGCCTTGCCTATTATCCATACCGTATAAACTGAAAACCCATAGCATTTATGGTCGTTTTATAGGCTCCACCGGTAAAACCCCTCTTACCACCATTCCTTTAAGACAGGCGGGGGGGGGAGGGGGGGAATAAGTCGCAGTACGTTTTACATTGTTTTCGAATCGTTTTTATCATAGACAAGCATAGGGTGATTGATCCTAATGTGGTAAAGAGGGGTGTCAGCTAGGGTATTGGAGGAAGCTAGGTCACTAAAACTTAACAGAGTAATTGGACGAGGGTTTATGCAGTTAAGATAATTTTACAGACTGGGTATACATATAACAGCAGTGACATCGATCAGCTCATCAGGGCAGAAAATAATGGCTCGCAGTTTAAGTACCAGTTCTGATTGACAAAAATAACTACTCCGACTCTGATGCTTGATGAAAGTTATGCATAGTTACGAAAGAAACATAAGGACGGAGGAGTAACTAGTTACGAATCGGTATCGCCATTCAGCTATGTCTCCTGAGGACAGTTAACTTTAGTCCGACTGTGATCTTTTGCTAACAGAAATAGACCTATATCGCGAAATTTATTAAAACTCGAACGAGTGTTTGTCGAATACACCACAGAGAGGCTGATATATGCGAAAATGTATACACTGTTAGAAGGGTGGAGGGTGACGAACGCTGCTGTAAGCGAAGCGTTAAAGACATACAGGGACCTAACAATAATCGTTTAAACTCTTATATTTATAAGAAGAATTGAAGTCCGGTTATCGGGTCTCGGTGTCCGGAATCGTATCCCACTTTATTTTCTTCTTATACTTAGCTGTCTAGTTCTTTAGTCCATGCGGTCGTGGGCTGTCATTTAGTTCACTTTTATACCATGCTGTACGGTTTTTTCTGTCGCCGCTCGCTGTTAGGCTTGTGATACCTAACATTCATTCTCGTGAGTGGATACTGACTAGTAATTATAGGATTTTTATTTTATGCCTGTAAGATTATCAAAGGAGATTGACTTAGTTCGAGAATTCCCCAAATACTTTAAATTTGCCTTCGTCCAAAAATAAAGACGTCTCCGGCCTCACAGGGCGGTTGTTTTAACTGTCGTGGTTTCGGTTTCTGGCCCGTTGTGATGTCCCGCTCTCGGAGTTCTCTTACCAAGGTTTATGTGGGCGATCTGCCTCGAGAGGCATCAGAAAAGGAAATAGGCCGCGTCTTCGATCGTTATGGAGCCGTGCGAAGTGTGTGGGTTGCCAGAAACCCGCCGGGCTTTGCATTTGTTGAGTTCGAGGATGCCGCTGATGCAGAGGATGCTGTCAGAGATCTGGATGGATCGTAACAATAATTCGATTTTATTATCTCGTCTCTTCAGAGTTATTTGCGGTGTCCGAGCACGTGTTGAGTTGAGTAGCGGAAAATCGCGGCCCAAACCGTGGCTAAGGGGCAGTGGGCGGGACAGTTACGGACGAGGATCTGGCGATCGTGGCAGGGGAAGACCTTTTGACCCTAATGACCGATGTTATGAATGCGGAGAACGCGGTCATTATGCCTACGATTGTCGCCGACGGCGTTCAAGGCGCTCCAGGTAGCATTCCTGTGATGTATTTTGTCGACTCATCTCAACTCGCCTCTCGACACGTTAAGTCAACTCAGCAGATACTCTCCGCACCCTAGTCGAGTCAGATTAACTTCATGCCACCTACGATCAGCTTGAAAGACCACTCTACAACATCAGCTGCTAGGCGTCATCTAAATAAAGGCTGAGGAGCGTCTGTTGAAAATCCTTCATATCTGCTGAATGAGTTCTACCGGCGCTCGTTATTTGCGACCACCGGGTTAGTGAGACAATTTGAGACATGATTTCGCCTATGATTGCCAGTACTTTTTTATTGTTCGCTACCCGTTCTATCACCTATACTAACCGACTCGTACTTTGATAGGTCCCGGACCTCGAGGTCTCCGCGCCGAAGTTGACCGGCCTCCAGTGGCATCATTGCCATTAAGTTGTACGCTTAAACTGTTTTAAAATAAATTTCTGCCTTTATTCTGTCCTCGCGTCACCAGGCAACTCAGGTTACTGAATCGTTCAGTTTTGTCTTTGCCAACTGTTCAGGAAGCGCTACTAGTAACCCGGTAGCAGGTGCTATCAGTAATTACACGTACTCGCTCTATTGGCGCCGAAGTCAGCATTATCTTTCCCACTACCGGGCGCTTATTAGCAGCAGGAACTGATTTCCCGTGACGTGGTTTGGGGGGCGAGCCCCCGACATAGTGGCTGGGGCACCCCGGTCTGCCAGGAGGAGGGTTTTGCCGTAATGTGCCGTCCCGTTGCAGTTTTTGGTTGCAACTGAGTGTGTAGTCACCTGGCACCAGGCAACAGTCAGATATGTACCGTTGTGGCTTTATCTTGTGGATTGCTTGCTACGAATACTCTTCTCTGCGTAGGGGAACATAGTATCACCTAGTTAGCAAGTTGCGGCCACATCCGCCATGACCTAGACCACGCCATCCCGAGCACGCTGGAGGGGCTCGGTAATAAACTTCCATGCAATGCATTGCCCCTACACTGGGGCGACAATGACCAACCGTTCTTTTTTAGTAAATACCTGTCTTAGGAGGAGCGGAGCGTGCGTTTATGCGGGACTTCAATCGTCCCGGAGGTGCCGTCACCAGCATGGGCTTGTCTCGAGCTGTATGTGACCAAGTTTCCACGCTGCCAGGCAACAGGCGCCTCTGAGGTGTTTTCAGTTTAAGTTTACCCTAAGCTTGAGACAAACCTTCGTTGGGTGCCTCCCACAGTCGACGCTGTTGTAAGTGAAAAGTCTGATGAAACAATCCGACTAGCTAGTGATGCTGGAGCGGTCCGAGCTTCTGGCACTTGCGTCGGGAGAGTGCGCGTTCTGCAAGTCACGACCGCAGCAGAGGCTAAAGCAAAACCGCCTGAGGTGTGTAGTGCGCTACAACGAAGGCTTGTTCCGAGAGACCCTTTCGAATTTTGCAGATGAGTCAGTCCGATGATCTCGGCTTCGACCACCAGGTATGACCGAAGTGCGGGGATACCGTCACTGGCAGGCGCGGTACTTCAGTGAAGGGAGTGATTTACGAAGGCCTTTGGCTTCGACGGGCCGAGCGCCCATCAGCTATTTTCCGACTTGAAGACGCTATGTGCCGAAATATGGTTCAGAAGGGAGCTCATTATCTACTAACATGATCCCGAAGACGATAATGAAGCTGAAAAGCAAAATAACCCGTGGGGGGCCACCTCCCGACTGAAATATATCTTTACGCGACCTGACGGATATGGGAGACTGCCTGCAGATCGAAGCGGTGCCGGCATGGCACCGATGTTGCAGATGGTTGTTGAAGTCGCCCACCCCGACCGCGTACGTCCATTCGGCCTCCAGCTGACGGGAATCAGTGTTCTCTTAGCCGAGCTGGAAGCATGTTGGTCAGCACTTGGTTCGCTAGACGCTTGCTCACCGCGACTGCTGCCGACAATCTATCGTAAGCTGTTTCGTAGATATTGATCCCACATCTGACTTTAACCATCCAGGTTAGTTTTGCTCCGATTCGTGGCATGATCGCATTGCCACCTTAGTCACTTCAGTCAGTCGAATCCTTTCATTACAGAAAAAGGACAATAGTGCGTGTGAATAATACAAGGAGCGGCTTTTTCGCTGTCACCTTTAGGGCCGTGTTCTCATCAGCCTTGTCCAGCTGCGCGATAGGTTGGATTCTTCAGCTCGCGTCAGCTCTGCACCGGTGTTAAAGTTAGTCATGACAGTCCGACCATCGCGAGCGATGACTTCCACTGTGTGCCCCACGGAATAGTGGGCACAGGGACGGTACCTTGCGCGAAAATTAGCTTGCGCAACACCTACGGCATCATATCCTCCCTCAGCCTGGTGGCAAGGGTAAGTCAGGACGACTGGAGGTTGGATCGGGCACGGTGCCCGACAAAAGTAAACAACTCGTTTGTGTATACCACTGACGTTTGGTCAGCGCACGATGGACCAGGTTTTAACAGGAGCAGTAAGTGGTCGACTCGGTCACTGGGTGGGAGTGCTGTGGAGGCCACATTGAGGGGCCATTGCAGCCTAACTCTCCGTCCTGAGGGAACCTTCCCCGCCTGCCGCACACACAACCTGGCCCTTAGGCAAAGCCAGGATTTCACGCGATGAGAGTGAACTGCTCAGATCTCACGTGTGTTAGAGTGCCATGGAGGGCAAATGAAGGAGCCAGAGCGCACGATTCCCATTTGCGTGAGAGGTGCTGAATCCTTGCCTTTGATAGGGGTTGAGAGACGGGTTCGTGTGTGGTCTATATACTTATGAAGAGATACATGGCGAGGGGATCTGACCGTATTTTACTGCAGACCAGTATGAAGGCGCGTGTGGCAGAGTAGGTCCATGTGACGCCGAATGTGCGTGGGCAGTGCTGGCGGGTGTACGTTGGTGTTCCTAGCACCGGTTCGCCATTTCCAATGCGATGTATTCGCAAGTGGCCGGTCAGGCCGGTGAGTGACGTGCGTGTGCGGTGGAAGTATGAACAGAATACGTTTGGAGCTCCTGAGTCGGTGGCAGTGGTGATACTACTGGTAGTGGCGACACGGGTGGAGTCGAAGTTGGCAAAACCGGGGGTGGGGGAATTATTGGATGTGCATCGTAGGTTTAATCGGCCGACATTGCAGTAAAGTCCGCTTTCGTAGATGTTCATGCGGCCGAAGAGTCGCATGCATTGAGTGTGCGGGTGCAGTGTGGGAAGCTCAGTCGGATGCGGCGGATGTATATGGGGGCTAAAAAACGGCAGTGCGACCGCCGTTACCGACGATGTCCACTGTGTGTTCCACCGCACAGTGATGGCAGGGACGGCAACTTTCGGGAGAATGCGTCTGGTAGTAGTAGTAGTAGTAGTAGTAGTAGTAGTAGTAGTAGTAGTAGTAGTAGTAGTAGTAGTAGTAGTAGTAGTAGTAGTAGTAGTAGTAGTAGTAGTAGTAGTAGTAGTAGTAGTAGTAGTAGTAGTAGTAGTAGTAGTAGTAGTAGTAGTAG